CTCCCACGCGAGCTCTCTAGTCTTATCTCTGAGTGGCGGACGTAATAGAAGACCGCTGCCTTTTTTTTCTTTTTTTTGGTGAATCAAATTTCATGAGCCCCGTCCACCTTCCTGCCCCAGTGTGGACCTGAACCGATTTCAGCTTTATTTGTTTTTAATAAGATATAATATAGTGATTAACTCATTAGTCTAACACATGATTCGAGGTCGGACACAAATCCCTGACACGGTTCCATCAAAGATGATATCCAGTCTAAACACCTGGCCTAAATCAAATGTGGAGACCAGTGAACTATCAACACATCTATCATAAGGACTCACACCAAAGCCTCCTCATGATGTCTGAGCAAAGTCTGTTTTGTTTTCAAACAACTAGCATTTTTCATTTTCTTTTGTTCTTGAAGCACTTACTGCAAATGAAAATGCATCTTTAAAACTCGTACAATTTTCCTGCTGTCTTTACTGCTTTAAAACCCAAAATATAAGTAGATATAAATATAAACAGATACACTGAAAAAGTTCGCAGTACACATTCTTGCAATGTCATTCATTTAAAATAACAGAAACAGAGAACATTAACTTTTTGTCAAAATGGCAGGCACTGCAGCTTCCACGTTCTATGGCAATCAGGGAGGTTACGTGATAACTGTTTTCAGAGATTCTGTTTCTCTTAAAGATGAAATTGTTTCTTCCACATTACAATCTTCAATTTGGTTTATTAAGATGTCATAAATGTGCAATAAGTTTAACCCTTTCACAATAAAACTTATTCATTGTCCTTTGTGGTGGACAGCAGGACTTAAAACCTCCATTTTTAATACTTCAAAAAGCTGAGGGCTGAAAGAGCTAGAAAGGATTTGATTCAAGTTTGTGGAAGGAGGGTTAGACTTTGAGCTTTTGGGAGATGAGGTGGAGCAGATCCAGGCATTGCAGCAGGAAGGTGACATGTTTGAGGACGAGTAAATCAGTAAACCAGCTTTCAAGGAGCCGGATTAGGGACGAAGTAACAACACCCACAATCCACTATGGATTAGAAGTAATGTGAAAGCTCGATCTTTTACACTGGGGGATTTGGTTTCTCTTGCACAGCTGAAATACATCTTCTCAATCTACACAGGCTTTCCATGATCTCAGCAGACTGAAGTATATTTGCTAGAAGTGCACTAAACCACATTACTTTGCTCTATCTCAATCCAATTTCAACCCTTTTGAATCTGGGTTGAAATTCTTTTTTACATGAAACAAAATCAGCTGCTTGGCTGATCTCATCATAGCCAATGAAATAACTCATGACAGATTCTTCAAGATTCATCATGTTAACAAATGAGCTCGTCTCTTGTCAGAGTGCAAGAAAGCTTCAGTCTGCTGAGACCTGTGTAGATGAGCAGATTATTCCTTTCCCAGGTCAAGCTTACACATTACTTTTTACACATAATGGGCGTAGTGAATGCTGCCATTTTGGCCCTACCTATGCTCAAAAGCAGACATGTCCTTTGACCTTCCTTATCTTCCGTACGGCTCTCTTCATCCATGAATCCAGCTTTAGGTGATTATTGGGCAGAATGCAGTTTTATCAAAAAGCTTGTCTTTTAAAAAGTAATTTGTTAAAACAGTGTTTTAATGTAATATTTTTTTCAGAAATTCCTAATCAGAATATGTTATTAACCCCAAAGGAAATTATGTGGTTACAGTTCCTTCTCGGGAGAACAAGAGGAATATTATGACATGGAATACTGACAACAAACTTAACAGAAATGGGCAAAACTGTCGTAGAAAGTTGTTTTTGTTTGTTTTTTTAATGATGGCTTTGTCTTAGAATTATGGAGTATTTTCTAAAAATTCCACATAGAATATAGTAGTATCCAACAGTGTCATATGAAAACATGTGAATAAAAGCAGCCGGTGAGAAGTTTAACATTCACTCCAGTGGAGAGCCCCCAAGAGCCTTGGGGAACAGTCTAAAGAAAAAACAGTGTTGACTGCTGTGGTGAGCTAGCATCATCATACCCTGCAGAACACACACATCTGTCATTCATAGATTCCAGACTGCATCAGTGTACCATTTAATTATGAGGCAAACAGTGTGTAAGACTTGTCATCATCAAACAACTACAGTGGAAAATCTCAGAACATGTGCTCTTCGGCAGAGGTGGGTGGCTCTGAAAAGAGCCGTTGGGTGGATGCAGCAGAGCTGCAGTTTACTTGGAGCTGGTGTACTTGGTCACGGCCTTGGTGCCCTCGGACACGGCGTGCTTGGCCAGCTCACCGGGCAGCAGGAGGCGCACGGCGGTCTGGATCTCCCTGGAGGTGATGGTGGAGCGCTTGTTGTAGTGAGCCAGGCGGGAGGCCTCAGAGGCGATGCGCTCGAAGATGTCGTTGACGAACGAGTTCATGATGCTCATGGCCTTGGAGGAGATGCCGGTGTCGGGGTGCACCTGCTTCAGCACCTTGTACACGTAGATGGCGTAGCTCTCCTTCCTGGTCTTTCTCTTCTTCTTGCCTCCCTTGCCGGCGGTTTTTGTCGCGGCTTTCTTGGAGCCCTTCTTGGGCGCGGACTTGGCGGGTTCAGGCATTTTTCTTCGTCGCTACTTCACAGCAGAGAATGTGCCCGTCAGCGCAGAGCGGCTCTCTTTTATTTCCGCTGTATGCAAATAAGGCTGTGCAGATCCGCGCCTGTCATTGGTCGAGCTGTTGCTCCCTTTCTTTGGTGGGTAAATTGCTACTGCGCAGTCTCACAATGGAAAAAAAACATGACCTTCAGCTTTCATTCACTGGACTATATTTAACATTCACAACGCGACACGTCGGGATTGTGGCATTAGTTAAAGAAAGTAGATTGAAATGCGCACGTTAAAGTGAAACTTATGAGATATTTGGAAGAAATAAGAATTTAAAGAATCTGTGCTTCTACAGTTAGTGATGCCTCATATCATTGATGATTGTTCTCAGAAATGTATTGATGTTCTTCTTGATATCAAACTGAAAACATTATGTAATAATTCTTATTAGAGCAACCAAACTAGACATTTTTTTAAATCACATGCATCGTTTTTACTATTGAAGGACTTTATAGTCCTAGCATATAAACAGGTTTTTACTTAAATAAACATGTTTTACATAATTCAACATAAATGTAAATCCTGTATTTGACAATACAGTTATTCCAGTGATTGCTCTATGTAATATTTACTTATTGTTTATTCAGCCATAATGTCTGTTAATGTGAACACATCACTATTGCCACTTCGCTTCGCCAAGTTTGTTCCACTCCAGTGTTTTGGCAAATAAAATTGAGACCATGTTACCCCTGAAAAACCTGTCCAGGATGAACCCTGCCTCACAACCAGGAATAACCTCCAGAGTCGGACACTACTAAAGAACAGTGTAGTTACCTTATTCACCTACTCAGATTTCATATTATAGCTCTGAACACCAATTAAAACA